CCCGAGCACGCCGCTCCGGCTCTAATTCTCCTCCCAGGCTTGCGGCGCCAAACAGCTGATTGGCACTGCAAGCCTGGCAGGCGGGAGAATTGGAGCGGCGACCGCGAGATCGGGGAGGAACTCTGTAAAAAAAAAAAATTGGGGGCACCGCTTTTTGGCGCCTCCAAATATTGGCTCCCTAGGCAACCGCCTAGTTTGCCTTAATGGTAGCACCAGCCCTGTGTTTACCCAGTGCTACAGGATGGGATTTACACACAATCCTGTAGATTTATGAGGAGCTCATGGAAGCTAGACAAATAAAATCTCTGTGCATTGATGGGAAAGATTTACAAAGTAGCACTTGATAAAAACAAATTTGTTTAAGGACACCGGAGAATGGACTGTGGTAGGTGTCATGGTTTTGGTTCTTTTTTTATATGTCATGTAGTAAGTCAGAGAGCAAATATGAGCTGTGAGAGAGAACTTGGGTTTTGTTTACAACTGTTACTGTCTTTTTAAAAAAATGTATTTATGCCTTCTATATTGAATCTTCAGGTTCAGGTTCTTCGGAATGCAGGAGAAGAAGTGACCCTAACAGTGTCCTTTCTGAAAAGAGCACCTGCTTTTCTCAAATTGCCTCTGAATGAAGATTGTGCGTGTAAGCATTTGTGATTAGCTAAAAGAAAATCCATTCATTGTTCATGTGAACCTCTGCTGTTAGTTTCCAAATTTCCTGTGCACTTTCAGTGATTGGCAGGAGCTATTTCAGTCAGTTTTGTGGCCTGAATATGAACTTTTAATATCACCAGGTGCTGTGTTGACATTCATTGCAAGCTAATGCTATCTTTGCTTCAGGCCATACTCTCAACTGGTGTGAATCAGCATAGCATTACTGAAATCAATAGGGCTACACCAGTTTACACAAGCTAAGGTTTGGGCCCAGAGTATTTAAAGATCCTTTTTTCAAACATACAATGGCATTGAAATTGGAACGGTTTATATATTCTAAATGTGAAACTGAGATTGCACATTTACATTTTAAGGTCTTATCTTCTCAATTTAAATTTCATTCAGGGGCTTTAGTGGAGATATACCTTTAATTGGAGATTAATACACTCTGAACTGAATAGTATTTTGTTTTAGTGCAACAGAATTTTAGTTGACTAACCCCAATGGGAATTTGAAAGAGATGTATAGAAGCAGCTGCCTGCTTCTAATTATAATAAATTATAATTGTTGGTATACCACTGTATATAGCTACAGTGTATCTGTGCCTGTGTATATGTGTGACTATGTCTTTATTCACCTCTGCTTTCCTTCAACTTCATTTTTTTCTGAAAGTGTGAAGATAATGTTTAGTTTTTAATTATGAGAACAAAAATATTTTTAGGTCTGAAACCTATTTTGTGTGTGTGTGTATGGATGTATGAAATCTATTCTAAAATATTTCAGTTTATTTGCATGAATTCATTGACCAATTCCTTATTTCTCACAAACTTTGAACAGGCAATGTTTTTGTTCACAAGTAGAACTGATCAAAATATTTTTGAAACTTTTTTCCATTGGAAAAAGTTGTCTTGTCAAAACAAAAATGTTCTGTGATACATTTCTGTTTCAGTGATCGTTTTGCAGGAAGGTTTCTCAGGTCCAGGAAGAACTCTCTTGCCTGCTTATTAGAGGGCACTAGCTGGAATGTACAGTGAAACAGAGTGGGGACTTGAACCCTCATATCCTAATCCACTTCCTTACTACTGGGCTAATCAGAGTGTGAATTATAAATAGCTAATGCTCACAGTAATACTTTGTGAAAAATCCATAGGTTGACTATTGTTCATGTCAGTTATTCATTGGCTAATTTTGAATAACAAACACATAAAAATCAGTCTGTGGATATTTCACGAATAAAAAGAGAAACAAACAAACTGTTGTCTGTGAATAGCTTAGTTGTACCCATGACAGTGCTTAGGACAAAAATGTAATTGTTTGAATATGATATCTAACATCATGTAATATGGGACAATGTTATATGCATGAATATTTTTGTTAGGTGTCCCTAGTGACCAAAGCAGTGGCACATCATCTCCCCTCTGTGACAGTGGTTTGCATCTCAACTACCATCCCAACAATACGGTAAGAGATTATTTTACTTTTCAGTGCTAACTCATCAATGAGCAACAGAGGGTCCCGTGGCACCTTTAAGACTAACAAAAGTATTGGAGCATAAGCTTTCGTGTGTGAATACCCGCTTCATCAGACGCAAGACGTCTGATGAAGTGGGCATTCACCCACAAAAGCTTATGCTCCAATACTTTTGTTAGTCTTAAAGGTGCCACAGGACCTTCTGTTGCTTTTTACAGATTCAGACTAACACGGCTACCCCTCTGATACTTGTCATCAATGAGGTGATAGATGACATCCCAGACGAGGCATGAAAAAATATCTACAAAGATGGGGGTCACCTAAATAACACTGGATTTAGTTGGTGAATAAGAGTTTCTCTTTAGTTTTGAATATACCTGTAACATTTTTGACTCCTCCTATTCTGAGGCATCCTCTATTGATTTTCAATTAAACTTGTCTGAATGTATTAACTGCTAGGAACCACTTTTCATTTTTTCTGCCTCTTTTTGAAGAGTAACTGCCAAAGAAACAACATGCAGCATGGTATGATTAACATGAGACACATACAGAATATAATTGAATGTCAGTGTTGTATATTTAGTGAAGTGGATCTGGCAGCTGTTCCATTGCTGCCTTAATCAGCTACTAGTGAGAAAACAGATATTTTTAAATTAGAGAGCATTCTTATGGCATATTTGTATAATCAATTCATTTGTGCTCCTTGCATTTCAAATGCTTCTTAAAAAGTAAGGGTAAGAAAACTTTCAAAGTCACTCCGGATGCTGCTGAACTATTAAATAATTACAGCTGGTTGGGAATTTGTCAATTAATTGGTTTTCACCGGAAAATGCTGATTTGTCACTATTGAAGCTTTTCGAAGGAAAAGGTTCATTGTGACAATTTTCCTGGTTTTGAAAAAAAAATTGAAAAAAGTTTGAAACTGTCAAAACATCCCATTTTGACATTGTTGAAACATAAACATTCTGATTGGGGGTCAAAATGATTTTTCATTTCAAAATTTATAGGAAAAAATAAAAATTGAAATTAAACTTTTTGAAATTATTGAAATGAAATGTTTCATTGACACAATCCATTTTTCCCCCAGATTCCCCTCCCCACAATCATGTTTTCAAATTCCCAAGGAGTGGGCAAACAGTTTCCAAGCTCTAAAAGTAATCCCACAAAACATACACAGCATATATATAAGAGAGAACATTTTCAGTATTTACTTTGTATTTATATTTTAACACATCAAAATAGAGCCTATACCTTGAAAATAATTAAAAATACTACTGAATTCTGCACCCCTCCCCAAGAAAGCAAACCAACCACCTTATTCCACATAAAAGAAACGTCGCCCAAAATAACATTTCCCCATCTCATCTCTCTTGTTAAGCCTGAAACATAGATATCTGTCTCTTGGCCCCTTACACTGAGCTAAGTGGGGTGTGGAAGAGAGCTGCTGAGCCAAGGAGAAACCACTGATTACAGAAAGCAGTTAAGTAAAATCTTCTCCCTTCTACAGAAACCTCTTTGTGACTCACCAGTGCAGAAAATGGGACACGGACGGGAACGGTGGTGATAATGAGGCAAATTCTCAATTTGAGGTCAATGAAGCTATGACAATTTATACCAGCTGAGTGTCTGGCCCTATGTGTGTACTTAATAATTCTGTGACGAGATTGAGTCCTCAGAAAGCCAAGGTGTGAATGTACAGCACTCTAGCCTGCCGCACATGCTATGGACCCTGCTACTGCACACTAAAAGTTCTTTAGTGCAGTCTGACATACTGCTATTTCAACCTGAAGTACATCAAGGCATACTAGAGAATGATTAGTGTACAGTACCAGAGTCCACATGGCCTGTCAGTGAGCAACAGGCTACAGCCCTGTACATTCACACCCTAGTTTGCTGTGCACTGACTTTGTAGCCAAGTCAACTGAGCTTACATTTGGTGACATTAGTAATTAGAACTAGGTAAACTTACTCAAATAAAATAAGAACTCTTCTGGACCTTCTCCCAAACCTTCAATTGAACTCAAACCATGCTTTCGTTGTCACTTCTAAAAACTCATTTTCTGGTACAATCAAATGAAGATTTTCTTTCATAAAGTGGAATATTTAAGTGTACCATTTTGCCTGTTTCTTAAAAGGGGTGTAGTTTAAATTTCATTAATTAGCATCACAAATTCTAATCGAAAATGATAGTATAATGGCAAACTGTCATTTTAAGATGAAAATCTACAGATAAATATTCAGATTAATATTCAGAAATACCTCTGGAGAGTATGGTACACTTTCTTCACAATGTAGGAAAAGACTTTAACACATGAATATAAGATGTTTTTTTTAAATGCAGGAAAAAACAAAGTGATGGTCACTTTATACAGTCCTGGAAGGTGGTATTTGACATGTAATACTCTTTTTGATATGTATCAAACAACTCCTAGGTGGGCTTCTTATGATCAGCAAGAACTTCCACCTGGAATTATCCATTATAACTCATACAGGATATTACCAGTAATGTTATAAACCACTACATAGGCAATAAAATATCACAGTTTGACTTGGAAAGATAAGTGCTTAAGAGTACTCCATCCTAGAGCCACAATCAGCTGGACTCTGACTTCACTGGGTCTCTGCACTGACAAAAAAAGGCTGCCTCCATGGATCAGACTTCAGGATCAGGTCTTAGTGGTGGTCAAAGAATATTAAAAAATACATTCATAAGTAAATGTTGGTAACTTTGCTCCACTGCTATTTGAGTAGATTCCATTATGTGATTTGCAAGTTTTTGGATAACTTCCAGTTCATAAAAAATGTTTAATAATTTGTGAAAATACTTGTGAAATTTTTTGGATTTATATTAATTCAGAAATGTATACTAGGAGGTCTTTGCTATTCACCATTCATTATCTGTTATTCTCCCATATAAAATCTTACAGCTGCGTAATCTGGGAGCAGAAAAAATTCCTTGTGACAGACCACAAATCATGAATATTCTAACTGAATCATTACTGCACAACATAAAGGTGAACATTTTTGCCCAATTTTCCCCATTTTTAAATTTGATAAATATTTATCAATAAAAAATGAATGGGGGAAGGGTTACATTTTCAACAAACATTATTAACAATAAATAATTAAACCTAATCATGTCTAGGATGAAACTTTGGTCGTATGGTACCAAAATAACTGCAGTCTAATTTCAACCAGAGGTTTTCATAGAATATTTATGCTGCGTCCAACTGTTAAATTATTTTGGAGAGTAAAATAATAAAACTTTATATAATATGTTTGTTTTTAAAATATGGTTTAAATGAGCTTTTTTCACATGTGTTGAATGGAATGCCATTTGATGGTACATCACAACTAATGAAGGGTGAATGTCAAAAACCCAGTGGTTCAGAGAACCACCTTAGATATTACATCTTCGTCCCACTCACTTCTACCTATGAAACTGGGAAAGAGATTTTTTTTTGTGCTTATTTTTTTTATTGATGTTTTTAAATTTTAAAAAATGACAAATACAAAAAGATACATAACTTATACATTCTAGCACCCTTTTTCTCAACTGGGTGGAAATTGAATGTGCATTAGTACATATGATTTCCCCTGCGTGTCTCCTTGGCTCCTTTGTTTGTGCAATGGACAAAAATAAGGTACCTATAGTGTCAGTTGTATGAAGGGTCTGGGCTAGCCTAGCTAAGAAGTACCATTTTCATCCTCACCATCATACAAAAGTATCTATATAGTGTAGGGCTCTCAAATAATTAACAAAAATTAATTGCAATTAATCACGCAATTAAAAAATTATGATTAAACATGCAGTTAAACAATAACAGAATACAATTTATTTAAACATTTTTGGATATTTTCTACATTTTCAAATATGTTGATTTCAATTACAACACAAAATTCAAAGTGTACAGTGCTCACCTTATATTTACTTTTTATTACAAATATTTGCAATGGTGGCCAAAGCATGGAAGGAGCTTACAAATGGCACATAAACCTTGCAACGCTGGCTATAAAAGTGCCATGCAAATGCATTTTCTCACTTTCAGATGACATTGTAAATAAGAAGTGGGCAGCATTATCTCCCGTAAATGTAAACAAACTTCTTTGTCTTAGTGATTGGCTGAACGAGAAGTAGGACTGAGTGGACATGTAGGCTCTAAAGTTTTACACTTGGGGTTTTTTTTAGTGCAATTATGTAACCAAAAAAATCTACATTTGTAAGTTGCACTTTCATAATAAAGAGATTGCTCTACAGTACTTGTATGAGGTGAACTGAAAAATACTATTTCTTTTGTTTATCATTGTACAGTGCAAGTATTTGTAATGAAAATAATATAAAGTGAGTACTGGAAACTATGTATTCTGTGTTGTAATTGAAATCAATATATTTGAAAATGTAGAAAAAAATCCAAAAATATTTAAATTTCAGTTGGTATTCTATTATTGTTTAACAGTATGATTAAAACTGTGATTAACTGCATTAATTTTTTTAATCCCAATTAATTGTTTTAGTTAATTGCATGAGTTAACTGCAGTTAATTGACAGCCCCTGTGTGGGACAACCCAGATTTGCAAATTGGAAACAAACCTGTAATTTGTAAAAGCTGGCTGAGCAAAGGGCATCATATGGATTTCCCTGTTACTCAATTATGAGGGCTTTGCCTCTATGCTAACACCAGAGGTGAAAGTGGGCCGGTATGGGCTGGTATGGTGTACCAGTAAGAAGTGGCCACCGGTACAAGCCCGTACACAGTAGATATTAAAGTGCTGCCGTGGCAGCGCTTTAACATCGCTGCCCCTTTTGCCCCTCCTGCCACTGATGGGAGGGGCAAAAGGGGCAGATGCCCCGGGGCCTGGCGATTTAAAAGGGTCTGGGGCTCGGCTGTCACTGCTGCTACCACGGCAGTGGCCGGAGCCCCAGGCAGCGTGGGCCAGGCAGTGCAGAAGGGCTGGCTGGGGGAGGCTGACCCCCAGTCCCGCCCCTTCTGCCTGAGGCCCCGCCCCTTCTGGGGCCCCGGAGATGGGCCCCTGTGCTGGTAAGTCTTTTATGTTACTTTCACCCCTGGCTAACACTAAAGTAGCACTAGGACCTGCACCTGAATGGAGAGGCAGTACTTACAACTAGGATACATTCTAACATGTCAATTTGGCCCCAATGCCCTAGAACTGCCAGAGACTCCAGAGCTACTGGGAACTTTTAGAAGTGTTTCATAAACTCCCCAGGCCCATGTCCACTATAAATGCTCTCTGAATAAAGAGGAGTTCCGTTATTCTGAAGTTATTTATGAAAGTATGGGAAGGGGATTTATCACAGCCTTTACAGGAATCCCATTTGCAGAGCATATTATGTAATGTAAAAATACCTCTGTGGATAGGCTATGCTTGATACAACAAAAGATATTATTTAAAATGTATTGGACAATATAAAGGTTGCACAAGATACAGACCTTCCCTGATACTCATGCTATGGGACTGTACAACAGTCAGGTAGCTGTGGAAAAGGACAAAAGTTAAAATGGTCCTGACTTCAACAGCCAAACCTCTGCTGAAAATTATATCCTGGGATATTTACCTGCTAAACTTGGCTTAATTCTGCAACAAACACTTTGGTTCTTGAGGTCTGCAATGATCACCAAGCGCATGATTTTATAAAAATGGAAGAGAAGACTTATGCCCAGAATAGACCAGTTCTATTCAAACCTCTCTGAGTTAGCAGCTAAAGAAGGAATAATTTATTGCATAGAGATCCATTATATGCAATTTAACTCTTGGAGTCCAGCTGTTTGACGTCTCTGAGTGGTTAAATGCCTCCTGGTGGTGAGGGGTGGAGCTGAGCTAAGCAGGGAACATCAACGACTTAGATATTGGCATAGAAAGTACACTTATTAAGTTTGCGGATGATACCAAACTGGGAGGGATTGCAACTGCTTTGGAGGACAGGGTCATAATTCAAAATGATCTGGACAAATTGGAGAAATGGGCTGAGGTAAACAGGATGAAGTTTAACAAAGACAAATGCAAAGTGCTCCACTTAGGAAGAAAAAATCAGTTTCACACATACAGAATGGGAAGAGACTGTCTAGGAAGGAGTATGGCAGAAAGGGATCTAGGGGTTATAGTGGACCACAAGCTAAATATGAGTCAACAGTGTGATGCTGTTGCAAAAAAGCAAACATGATTCTGGGATGTATTAACAGGTGTGTTGTGAGCAAGACACGAGAAGGTCAGTTCTTCCGCTCTACTCTGCTCTGGTTAGGCCTCAGATGGAGTATTGTGTCCAGTTCTGGGCACCGCATTTCAAAAAAGATGTGGAGAAATTGGAAAGGGTCCAGAGAAGAGCAACAAGAATGATTAAAGGTCTTGAGAACATGACCTATGAAGGAAGACTGAAAGAATTGGGTTTGTTTAGTTTGGAAAAGAGAAGACTGAGAGGGGACATGATAGCAGTTTTCAGGTAAAAGGGTGTCATAAGGAGGAGGGAGAAAACTTGTTCACCTTAGCCTCTAAGGATAGAACAAGAAGCAATGGGTTTAAACTGCAGCAAGGGAAGTCTAGATTGGACATTAGGAAAAAGTTCCTAACTGTCTGGGTGGTTAAACACTGGAATAAATCGCCTAGGGAGGTTGTGGAATCTCCATCTCTGGAGATATTTAAGAGTAGGTTAGATAAATGTCTATCAGGGATGGTCTAGACAGTATTTGGTCCTGCCATGCGGGCAGGGGACTGGACTCGATAACCTCTCGAGGTCCCTTCCAGTCCTAGAATCTATGAATCTATGAATCAGTCCACCTTCTATGGGGAATAGGGGTTGTATAATTTGGATGGCCTCCACCTCATCAGAAGGGGAATCAATCTCCTCAGGGACAGGTTGGTTAGAGTAGTCAGGAGGGCATAAGAATGGCCATACTGAGTCAGACCAAAGGTCCATCTAGCCCAGTATCCTGTCTTCCGACAGTGGCCAGTGGCTGATGACCCAGAGGGAACGAACAGAGCTGGTAATCGTCAAGTGATCCATCCTGTTACCCATTCCCAGCTTCTGGCAAACAGAGGCTAGGGACACCACCCCTGCCCATCCTGGTTAATAGCCATTGATGGACCTATCCTCCATGAATTTATCTAGTTCTTTTTTGAACCATGTTATAATCTTGGCTTTCGCAACATCCTCTGGCAAAGAGTTCCACAGACTGTGCGTTGTGTGAAAAAATACTTCCTTTTGTTTGTTTTAAACCTCATGCCCATTAATTTCATTTGGTGACCCCTAGTTCTTGTGTTATGAGAAAGAGTAAATAACACTTCTTTATTTACTTTCTTCAGACCAGTCATGATTTTATAGACCTCAAGCATAACCCCCCTTAGTTGTCTCTTTTCCAAGTTGAAAAGTCTTATTAATCTCGTCTCATACGGAAGTATGCATAGATTTATACCTACTATATAATGCAGCACTCACCTGGTTAAACTGTTTAATATGAATGCTGATGTAAAATCATTTTTTATTTGCCTAGTACAGTTGTCAGTAAAGCACAGTGATATTCCAGGGACTATTTATCATGACATAAGAAAGGCCATGATGGGTCAGATCACCGGTCCATCTAGCCCAGCATCCTGTCTTCCACAAGTGGCCAGTGCCAGGTGCTTCAGAGGGAGTGAACAGAGCAGATAATCATCACGTAATCCATCCCCTGTCACCCTGTGCTGCACTAATTATGTCACAGGCTTATTCATTGCTGAAATATGTAGACGAGACCCTTGTTTAAAACGTATCTACATCTTGCAAAAAGATTTGGTAGGCCTGAAACTTTTCATTAATTAAAAAAAGGGAAGGAGAAATGACATCAATGAAAACATGTAGAATGCTGTTTGCTGTCATTTACACATACTTAAATCTTTCAAGCTCGGCTTCACTTGCAAGCATCACAGAATAATAATCATATTGGTTATTTAAAGTATTACAGGATACTAAGAC